GGCTACTAGCGTCCCATGGAAGAGGGGATCCGTGGACCTGGCTCCCTTGGGTCAGCTCCTCTGCTTTCCAGCTCCAATCCCACTCTGCTCCCCACAATGACTTGCTTTCATAACCAGAAAGAAAGCCCCTAAATTTCTTTTAAGTTGCAATTTCATAGCTTTTGACCTGTTAATTTCACTTCTTGGAATATCTTTCTTTCAAGGACATGGAAATTTGAAAACATTCTTCTGGAAGCGTCTGCACCACAGTGTCACTTACTAAAGATTACGAGTTGTGAACATCACAGATGTCCAATTTGAGTCCTGATTAAGGAGCTAATGACAAAGCCCTGTGACAAACACCTAAGTGGGTGTTTCCAAAGGCATTTAATGGCCTGGGGGAAAAGGCTTGTGAGTCAACGTGAAATGGAGAAGGCAAAACACAAAGCTGGGACCACACTGTTGTTCAGGTTTTGTTTGAACATAAGCATGGAAGAGGATAGAAAGGTACAACTTAAAAATATGTGCAATTGGGGGCTGGAGAGATGGCTTAATGGTTAAGAACACCTTCTGTTCCTCCAGAGGACCCAGGTTTGATTTCCAGACCCACAACCATCCGTAACTCCAGTTCCAGGGGATCTGACACCCTCTTCTGGCCTCTGCAGGCATTGTATACATGTGGTGCACTTACATACTTATGTACAGGCAATATACTCATACACATAAAAATAAGATTTAAAGAATATGTGTAACATGTATGTGTGCATGTATGTATGTATTGAGACAGGGTCTTACTATGCAGCCCTGGCTGGCCTGGAACTCACTATGTAGATCAGGCTGTCCTCAAACTCATAGAGATCTACCTTCTTCCCAAGTGCTGGGATTAAAGATATGCACCACCATTCCCAGCCATGTATTTTATTTTTAAAGTTAGCTTAACAAAGCAATGGGATTCATCATGGTATTATACTCTGTTCTAATCCATCCCCCTTGCCATGGCCTTTGTCTCGCCTCTGGCTTGTTTCCTTCCTCCCTGTAAATAGTCCCTCTGGGAAGAGATGACCATGGATTGTTAACAGTTGTCACCACTGATGGTGGGAATTCCTTGTCTACAGTGGGCACACATTATCTCTAAATAGCCGGAGAAAAATTCCTAGATGAAAGAGGAATGACCGTAGAAAAGTCTCTACAACCCGCGTTTGCATGAGTAGAGAGGTAGAAGGTTTGGGCTGAGTGGTGAGAAGTTGGATCTTGATCGCCTGATGCTGGCAAGCAGGAGAGGGTAGCATATGTTCTGACATAGGGCAGGTTGGTAAGGAACTTCTGGAAATCAGGCACTGCTGGATGAATGGGAGGGGTGGGGCCTCCAGCCACATTGTGTGTGGTTGCTGTGCCCTGTGGGAAAACAGAACAGTCAAGTATCCTATGGCTCTGGGTGTCAGAACAAAGCGAACAGGGGGTTAAAGGTGGAGAAAGATGTTTGACCATTCTGTGATGGATACATCTTCCTGCAAATGTCAACAGTCAGGTTGAGGCTGGTGTGGAAAGGAAACAAAAGATGGCCAGACAAGCCAGGTGTCGGGGTGGAGCATGCTTTTAATCCCAGTACTCCAAAGGTAGAGGCAGGTGGCTCTCTGTGAGTTCAAAGCCAGCCTGGTCTTCATAGCAGTTCTAGGCCAGCAAGGGATACATAGTAAGACCTGGTCTCAAATACAAAGAAACAATCAAAGTGCCCAGACAAGGCATGAGAGGTTAGGGGTAGAACCATGGGGTCAGAACTGGGCTGGTAGCACACACCTTGTAATCTCAGCACTCAGGAGGATGTGAGCTTGAGACCAACCAGGTTACATGGTGAGTTCCAGGTCAGGCTGAACTATATAGAAGACTCTGTCTCAAAACAATGCAAAACATGGGGCTGGAGAGATGGCTCAGTGGTTAAGAGAACTGGGGCTCTTGAAGAGGACCTGGGTTCAATTCCCAGCACCCACATGGCAGCTAACAATTGGTCTTTATTTTATTTATTATTTTTATTTTATGTGTATGAATGTTATGCCTGCATGCATATGAATGCACCCATGTCATGTATTACCCACGGAGGACAGAAGAGGCTGTTGGATCCCCTGGAACTGGAGCTATGGACAGTTGTTAGCTGCCATGTGGGTGCTGGGATTCGAACCCTGGTCTTCTGCAAGGACAGTCAGTGTTCCTAACCACTGAGCCATCTCTCCAGCCCCTAAATATTAAAAAAAATTAAAGAGGGGCTGGAGAGATGGCTCAGTGGTTGAGAATACTGTTCTTACAGAGGACCTGGGTTCTATTCCCATCACTCACCTGGTGGCTAACAACCATCCTTAGCTCCGGTTTTGGGGAATCCAATGCCCTCTTCTGACCTCTCTGGGCATTGCATGACATGATGGGTGCATTACATGAACATAAAAATATATGTTTTTTCAGTATTTTATTTATTATTTTTATTTTATGTGCACAAGTGTTCAGCTTCTGTGGGACCCCATGTGTAGCTGATCTGAGCCATCAATCCCCTCCAACATAAAATCTGAGAGAACCTGAAACTTAGAACAACCAGTTTTATATAACCAATAAGAAAACAATGAAGGCACATGAATAACACAAAGAGAAGCAAACTTCAGCTCAACAAAAGAAAGCTTAAGTTTCATACCAGAATCACAAACAACAAAAATAACACATCACTCATGAGCTTCAGACCAAGGAGGGTGGGGAGACATGTTCCCCCAAGTGACACTCATCATGTCTAATGACCCTGCTTCTCACCCAGTTATTTCATAGTGGAGAAACTGAAGCCTAGAGAATAAATAGTTCCACAGTGGAGTGAATGAGAGGTGGTGGGAGGCAGGAGCCAAGTGTCCTAACTCTAGACATGGCTCTCTCTGGGACTGAGAGCTATTTAGGTTTTGGTGTACCTAGGGAACAGGCTGATGGGGGGAGCAGGGAGAGAAGGAAACTGTGACAAAGTTTTGTTCCATCCACATCCGGAGGAGTCCCCGTGGATACACACTGCATTCTCCTCCACCTCCTTGGACCCTTGTTTGGAGATAAGGGGACCAGTAGGCTGCCAGTGTGAGTTGAATTGTGACCTCCCTCAAAGGTACCTCAAAATGTAAACTTATTTGGAAATAGGGGTCTTTCCCAGAGGCAATCAAATTAAACTGAAGTCATTGGATCAAATCCAATACGATGGTTCCTTATAAAAAGGGGAAATTTAGACACACAGAGACACACACTGATAGATGGCCATATGAAGATGGAGATGATGCTTCTAGAAGCCAAAAAAGGAAGAAAAGATGATCAGAAAGCTACCAAGAGCCAAGAAACAGGCATGGCACAGATTTTCACCTACAGCCCTCAGAGGAAGAGAGGCCTCAGAACCCTTGTCCTTGGTTCCAGGGTCTGGAGCTGAGAGGACACGTGTGTGTTCTTTTAGCTTTTGCAGCACTTTGCTAGAGGCTTGGACAAACTAAGGCAGGTGAGACGGAGTCCTGGCTGAGTTTCACTCATTTTTTATATACACCGGCCCTCCCTAAACCTCGTGGTCTCGTCTCACTATAACATCCTCACCCTCAGCCCATTTGAATCCTAGTTTTGCTGAAGGTCCAAGTCCAGGTGCCCAGCCTCACCCTAGGCCCCACATCAAATGAGATCAAGAGTGGAGAAGTTCATTCTCATTAAGCCTCCTCCATGACCTTTTCAAGTGAGGCCAGGTAGCAGATACCAGAGACACCGGCTTCTGGGATCCTTAGACAGGGATGGCTGAGACAGTGGAACTCAGCCCTGTGGGTCAGCGAACACAGGAACTGTGTTGCCCAGTCTAACTCAGTCCCTCACTTCATAGAGCCAGGCCTCTGGGGGAATAAAATGTCTCTTGGCCATATTTAGAGACTCACTGAGACAGACTGTTCTGAGCAGTGGTCCAGATCCTGAGAAGTTGTGGCCATTGCTGGAGAAGTCAGGGAAGACTTCCTAGAGGAGGATGGATGTCCATTCCAGGCCTTGCTGGAAGGTATGAGATGCATTTTGTTGCCTGACTTTGATAAGTCAGCCATAGTTACATGCTTCTACCTATTTTATTTCACATCGCTTGTAAAACAGTGATACTGTTTAAATTTTTTAAAAGTCAGGGTCTTGTATATTCAAGATTGGTCTCAAACCCACTAGGTAGCTAAGGATGACCATGAACTTCTCATCCTCTGTGCATACTAGGCAGGTGCTCTACCAATGGAGCCACATCCTTAGCACATCCTCTATGTTTTAGAGATGCGAAAACTATGGTTCAGAATTGATGAACTCCAGACCACATGGCTGGAACTTGTGGGAGCAGTATTTAAACTCAGGACCCCAGTGCCAACACTGCCTCTTCCAGGTCTACGGGTGCTTAGGGATTGCAAGGGGGGCAGAGTGGGAAGGGGACCTTTTGGGCTGCCGCTCTCTATTCTCCTTGGTGAGATTTGGGTGCATGGATAGGAACTACGATACAAAGCCTCCAGTTGTTCCTTCTGACAAGCAGACTAGAAAGGGCCTGAAATCCTCAGGGCCCATGATGAGGTGGGATGGTGCATGGGACCCAACTGAGCTGTACTGTGAAGCACTTGTGACAGGTCCACTTGGGGAGCAAAATGCTCAGGCAGGAGATACATTGCAGAGGATAGTGTGGCAAAGGTTCCAGATGGGCATGGGGCATGGGGCAAAGCCATTGGAGGCTCTGGACACCAATTAATGGGCAGGCTGGTTGACAGGACATTGGATGGGCTGAGGGAGTGGGGTGAAAGGAGGTCAGTGCCTGGGGTGTTTCAAAAGGCAGAGTAGTAAAGATTCAGGGTGTCCAGAGGAAGGACGTTTGAGTATGAGGGCTTAGGGTGCTGACTGGAGCTAGGACTTTAGAGACCAAAGACAGAAGACAGGACTGGAGAAAAGGAAGTCTGGACAAAACAGCTGCTCCCCCACACCACCACCCCTGGCACCCATGACAGCATCAATACACACCTGACTTGTGATTGAGGCCTGTTTATTTTAGAAGCATAAACAGTGGAAGTAGGAAAGAATGAATGAAATAAGGCACCAACCAGCCCCCTTGGACAGGGCCAGATCTAGTGCAGGCTCTGCCTGTCCAGGTGATCAAGCTGAGCCAGCAGCCTACATCAGCCTTTTCCCCTGACAGGGTGTGAGGGCAACCCCAGCCACAGTGGGACCAAGTGATCAAGAGTTCTGGGTCCCTTTGGATCAGGTGAAAAGGGTCAGAGGGCCCATAATTTCTTTGGCCAAGAGCACCCCACCCGTTGTGTCCATGTGTGGGCAAAATCACATTCTAAACAAAGCCACAGTGCCATCTGGTCACCACAAAGACCCCAGATATTCCAGAACCATCTGTAATCAAGTCCTTTGCCCAGCAAGTGTCCACTTCTCTAGCCCAGTGGTCTCTGCAGAGCCTTTGAAGACCGGGCATCTGAGAAGCATCCAAAGAGGACACACTTCTTAGGACCTCTCTGTTGAGTGACATAAGCCCCAGGCCCCTACACATACTGCTTCTTGGATGCAGAGCTGTTGGGGCGACTAGGGGGCCTCTGGCCACCCGGGGAGTCTGGGTTTAGGAAAGGAGGAGGTCTGGAAGAGGTCAACCTCTCTTCTGTGGTCAAGTTGGCCCAGTTTTGCTCAGAGGATGAGAGCCCATTGTAGGTGGGGCATGGCGGGGATGAGGGCCCCTCACCCACGGGGAGGTAGAAGAAAACCTGCTCAGGGTAGGAGTCTGAAGACCTGCCCTGGGCTGGGGGAACATCATGGCCCTTCCTTGCCTTCATCCCCTGGCTGACACAGCGACACAGCAGGTACACCAGCTCCAGCAGGTTGAGCACCAAGGAGATGACCCCTACCACCAGCATGAAAATGATGAAGATAGTCTTCTCTGTGGGGCGAGAGACATAGCAGTCCACGAGGTGGGGGCAGGGTGAGCGATGGCATACAAACACGGGCTCCATGGTCCAGCCGTAGAGGCGCCATTGGCCATAGAGGAAGCCTGCTTCCAGCACACTCTTACACAGCACACTGGCCACATAGGTGCCCATGAGGGCCCCACGAATCCGCAGCCGACCATCCTCGGTGACTGAGATCTTGGCCATCTGACGTTCCACAGCAGCCAATGCTCGCTCTACATGTGGGTCCTTGGCTGGCAGTGCCCGCAACTCTCCCTCCTTCTGCCGCAATCTTTCTTCCCGCCGAGACAGGTAAATGACATGGCCCAGGTAGATCAGGGTAGGTGTACTGACGAAGAGGAACTGCAGCACCCAGTATCGGATGTGGGAGATGGGGAAGGCCTGGTCATAGCAGACGTTGGTGCAGCCTGGCTGGGCTGTGTTACATTCGAAATCCGACTGCTCATCGCCCCACACGGACTCGCCTGCCAGGCCCAGGATGAGGATGCGGAAGATGAAGAGGACGGTCAGCCAGATCTTGCCTACCACGGTCGAGTGCTCCTGGACCTGGTCCAGCAGCTTCTCCAGGAAGCCCCAGTCACCCATGGCTCCAGGGCCTTTGTCTGCAGGGAGACAGGGATCAGAGAAAAGCTTAGCAGGGCAGTACAGCAACTTTCTCAGCTCAACTAAACCCACAGGAGGCCTACCAGGTGCTAGGGTCCCTGCCTAACCACAGGTTTGCATCTTCTCTCACAGGTCAGTGCCCCAGGATGACCATAGCCCAAAGAGGTCTGGGTTGAATAGAGGCTCCTAGGAGAACAGAGAATCTGAGGAACTTTTCCAAGGTCATACTGCTGAGCCATGCCCTTCCTCCCTTTTGCTCAAGGCTGGCTACCCCAATATATCAAGGCTAGCAGAAGAGATGTTATCTTCAGGTTCTTAGGGGTTCCTGCCCCCACCTTCCATCACCTCACTGGGTGGGCCTCATTTAATTTCAGTGCTTGCCTGTAGTGGTGATGGGGGTGAGGTGAGAGGGGCTTAGAAGTTCAGGGCAGTATGGTTGACTAGTTCACCTGTCAACAAATAGAGTCTGCCTATGACTTAAGTAGATACACCTGGCCCTGTCCTTGGCCACACCATCACCTCCCTCCCCTCCATAGCTGTTGCTGCTCTTCTAAGACTCTTGAAAGAAATTATCCTTGTAGCCTGGAGGTCCCAAAGCTCCCATTATATTTAGAGGGGATGAAGTGGCGTGTGTGTGTGTGTGTGTGTGTGTGTGTGTGTGCGCGTGTGTGTGTGTGTGTGCGCGCGTGCCTCTTTGTGTTAGTAGTTAGGAGCTAGAACCAGACCTAGATTTAAATCTTGCTTCTCACTAACTGGGGACTTGGATAAGTAACAACCTGTCTCTCCTTAAGGATTCAATGAAAGAAGAGGAAACAGCACTTAGCATCAGAGCAGCCACGTGAACTGGGGTCTGACTCTTGTCCAGTCTTCCCCCTCCCGCAGGTAAGCAACCCTCACCCTCAGCAGTCGGAGTGATGTGTGTTCCCCATTCCCCAACTCACCGCCGGCCTGCCGGGCGAGCCCAGGTGGAGGCGACCACAGCCTAAGTGGCGCCCGCGGGAGCCTGCAGGGCCGTGCCTCCCGCTGGAGGCCTGAAATAGTGCGCAGCCCGTGGGGGTGGGGGGAGGTGGGTGGCGGCAGGAAACGCCACCCGGAGGGCTGGGGAGATGGGGGCGGGGACTGGGAGGCACAGATTCCCTGAACTTGCTCACCGGCCGTTCTGTGGGTTGTAGGGGGTCAGAAGCCCCCTTTCCTTTCTCTGTGCTCCCCCTCCAGGATCCCAGACTGCGCTCTTTTCCCGTCCAGGGAAGGAGAGTTCTTCAAGACCCGCTCTTTCCGTGGCAGCGGGATTTGAAGGGATTTTAGCGAGAACTTTGCAGGTCTGGCACCCGGCCTGAGGGCTGAGAGGAGTGGCTGGGGGTAAGGGGACGCGAGACTCACTAGTGTGTATTCAAGGCTCGTTAAGACCCAGGACCCACATTGGAGAGGGGTGAGACCGCTCGCTTCCTAGTCTGTGGCTCTTCCTTGTCCACTTTGCTGCTCCTGGGCAGGTTACACCATCAGACGTCATCGAGCAACTCCCTTTGACCTCCTGAGACTGGGGGCCGCAGGAAGCTCCTGCCCTGCATCTTGGCTCCCAGACTGATACTTCTAAACCGGAGGGGTCTTCCAAGGGATTTGGGAGGCAAGCTGAGCACCTGTCGTTCATTCTGGCCTCACTTCAATGAACATGTATGGGATTAAGGATCCGGCTTGCAGCTAGGAATCCCTCAAAAAGCCACCCCGGCCTGCTAACACACGTGGCAGAAATTGAGCAGAAAAGTCCTGGGGTAACAGTAAAAGTATAAATGTGGGGATCCTGTGGAAGAACCAGGGGGTGGCAGCGCTTGGCTAGGGGCTGGGTGAGCCAGGTAAAGCAGACCAGCACCCCTGGCCAGGCAACAGAGAAGCAAAGGCTCCACCTGGGGCCATGAGGTGTTGTGACAGGCTTAAAGCCCAGGAGAGGCCTGGGAGACCTAGATGAGTCCTGTGAACATACAGAGGGCAAGGCGACTCTTGCCTTTTTGCCCTTAGGTCAGCCTTCCTTCTACTACAGAATAAGGATAGAAAATGTGCCTGCTTTGGAGGCTTGATGGGAAGTCCAATGAAGGTTTTCAAGGGAGCACCAGAAAACAGGATGATGTAATTCCTGCACTTGGAAGGCTGAGGCAAGAGGATCAAGAGTTCTAGACCAGCCTGGACTACACAGTGGGACCCTGTCTGAAGAAAAAAATCAAAAGAAACACAGGCCTGTAATCTTAGCTACTTGGAAGGTTGAGGCAGGAGAATTGAAAGTTCAGGGCTATGGGGCTGGGGATGTAGCTCCATTAGTAGAGTGCTTGCCTGATATGCATGAAGTCCTAGGTTCCATCTCTAGCACATAAACCAGGTATGGTGGTACATGCCTGTAATCTTTCAGGAGGTGGAGGCAGGAGGATCAGAAATTCAAGGTCATCCTCTTCATAGTGAGATTGAGGCCAGCTTGGGATATATGAGACCTTATCTGGGGGAGGGGGGATATCACGGCTAGTCTGAGCAACATAGTGAGACCCTGCCTCAAAAAATGTAAAGCAAGCTGGGGATATAGTTCAGTAGTAGAGTACTTGTCTAGCCTGTGCAAGGTTCAGTTTCCAGTATTACAAACAACCCCCACCCCCCAAATGTAATAGAAAGGATCTGTATTCTAGGAGAGAACAGAAAAGGTGAGGGAACTCAGGGCAGAGGGTTGGCAGGGACTGGGGCAGCTAGGGGACAGGAAGGTGGCAGGTGGGTATAAGGCCCAGGGCTGATGACAGAGGGTCGATTTTTCCAAACAGGATTCCACCCTTGTACTTCTAGGGCCCCAGGGCTGGGACTAAAGGGCTCTGTGGGGTAGCCTTGGGCAGGGTTCAGACTGTAGCACTGCAGGATGGTTGCTTAAGGATCAGGCTGAGCTGGCTTTCCCTTCCAGACCTCTCCCTGAGGTCCAGGCCAAACTGGGCCTCCTGGGATTCCAAAAGGGACAACTGCACCCACTTAGTTATGACCCTTGAGGGCATGGGAACCGGCTCCTGGAAGCCGCCTCTTACCACATCCCCACTGCAGTCGCTGTTCCAGCATGGCTCTGCTGCCTCTGGGAAGAAAGGGGGGAGCTAGGGGACTGTGGGAGTGACGTCAAGGTTGCCCCTGCCCTGCTGCAATCCCTTCCTCAGGGACTCAGGTCAGGTTCAATCACCTAGCTCCCTTTATGAAGGAGGAAGGAGCTGGGATCGGGACAATCCTCGCTGGTGGGTGGGGGCTCTACCTAGACCCTCACTCTTCCTTTTCCATTGTCCTGAGCCTGTTCAGGCTGCTACTGTCTCAGTGAACCCCAAATGGTCTTCTGGACTCCAGCCCCCTCCACTCAGCCTCCACACTTTTCTAGAAATCTGGCCACGAAGTTGCCTTATTTCACTTCCTGTAATGGTCCCTCCTGCCTTCAGGGCAAGACCCCAGCTTGCCTCCACCACTCCTGTGGCCTAGTTACCCCCAGGTGCACTCTGTCAGCCAGCCCCTTCCAATTATTCTAACTATGGGGCTCTGTGTGCTCCTGCCTTTGAACGTGGCCAGTCTGTCTTCCCAGAGTAAGCTCTACATGCAGAGTCCCCTGGGTCTGGCTCAGGTCTTTGCTTAGAAGTCGTCTTCCCCAGAAGTCTCCTTGCTGGCCCACACTGACTTAAGTGTGCTTTGGTCCTGCAATATGTTGTTTGAAACTCAGGGCTGCCAATTATAGGCCAGCCTATTCTACATGAGACTTGTACCCAAAATACAACTCCTACCTCAAAGGGGATAAGAAATAGTTTATTCTGTAGCCAAATATGAGTGGCCATGGCCTGGGAGCATAGATTTAGGTTACTTTAAATACCATGTTCTAACATGCTAACAGTTTCATGAAGAGTTTATAGTAATAGAACACAAGAAAATCATTAATCAAGACCTTTCTTTTTCTCTTCTTTCTTTTTTCCTTTCTTTATTCCCTTCTCTTCCCTTCCCTTCCCTCCCCTCCCCTTTCCCTGACATCTTTCCCTCCGCTGACATCTTCCTCCTTCCTTCCTTCCTGGCAGGGTCTAGTATAGTCCAGACTGGTCTCAAACTTGCCATGTAGCTGAGGCTGGCCTTGAACTCTTGACCCTCCTGCCTTAGCCTCCCAACTACAGAGATTATAGGTGTGAGCCACGAAGCTCTGCTAAATCAAGGCATTTAAAATATACACTGGTGGAAATGTCAGTAGGTGGGTTTTAACAAAGCAGAGAAGTTTACTTTAGGCCTCAGATGTTATCAGAGTGTCCTATTCTTAGCCTTTGGGTTCGTAGAAGCTAGGGGTTTGGGGAGGAGAGCACAGTTATACATAGATATATAAGATATCATATACACACACAGGACTGGAGAGATGGCTCAGTGGTTAAGAACACTGGCTGCTCTTGGAGAGGACTCAAGTTCTGTTCCTAGTACTCACATGGCAGTTAATGACCTATAACCACAGTTCCTGGGGATCTAGCATCCTCTTCTTGTCTCCTTGGGCCCTGGATATACATGACACACTTATTTACATGCAGGCAAAACCCTCATCCACATAAAAGAAATAAACCAAAACATTTAAAAATATTTTATTTATTATTTTAATTTTATGTGCATGAGTCTATTGCCTGTATAAGTGTACCTGTGTCATGCAATGCCTGCAGAGGTCAGAAGAGGGCATTGGATCCCCTGGAACTGGAGTTACAGATGGTTGTTAATTGCCATGTGGGTTCTAGGAACCAAACCCAGGTCCTCTGCAAGAGCAGCCAGTGCTCTTAACTGCTGAGCCATCTCTCCAGCCCCCCAAACAATTTTTTATGTACACGTATAAACATATATCTATCACAGTAAAGTGTGCCATGTCAGCCATGTAGTATGGAGTATATTTACATTGCTATGCAACAAACCTCCAAAACTTTTCCTCTTGTAAGACTGAATCTGTACCCACTGAACTTGCTTTACTTTACTCCTTCTTCCCCATGTTAGACTGGGAGCCTCTTGAGGGCAGGCAGTAAGAACTGGTTTACTATCCCAGCACACAGCAGGGCAAGAGGCCTGTAGATGAATTTATCAATTCAACAAATGTTTGCCAGCTCCTCCTGGTGCTGTGGCCACTGTTCTTGACACTATCAGCATCTAGGGAACAGAAATAACTCCAGAAATTCCAGCTGTGGGAAGATGTAAAAATAAAAGAGGTGGGTTAGTAGCTCATGCTGAGGGGCAAATCCAGCAGGGAGAACTGAGAGGGCAAGGTGGCTGGTTTCAAGTTCAGAGAAGAGAAATCTGCACTAAGCAGCTGACACTGAGATTAAGTCCTGAAAGGAGGAGGAAGCCCTGCAGCTGCCTGGGCATTCCAGGGTGCAAAGGCCCTCAGGCAGGAGTATACCTGTTGTTTCCTGCCTGGTGAACAGTAAAAAGATAAGCATGGCAGAGGCAGGTGAGGAAAGAGAGTTCAGGAAGGTGAAAGGTGAGCTGTAGGGTGGGGCAGTTATGCAAGCTGTCTAAGAGATGCCTTTGGTAGTTTGGGCCATTGTCCCATGACCTAACTTGGATATCGCAGCATGTCTCCTGGTGGCTGTGTTGGGAATAAATTATGGTGGTGCCACATGTAGGCAGACACCCTACTTCAATATAGAACTCACTGCCCCACTGTGTGGAGTCTGGTCAGCTGGCAGGCCATCTGGTCACACTTTCAGGTTTGCTTCTGATATCCTGGTGGTGGCCATACCCCTCTTAGAGTGACTCCAGGCAATGGGTGACCAAGAGTGAGAAGTTCCTAACCATTTCTGCATGGCTCAGAACTCTATGGCCAATCTGTGCCACACGGCTCTCTGTGGATCTGGTGGCCCCATTGTACTTCCTCCCCTTTTTTATCTGTGGGTGCAACTCCCCAGTTTTCCCACGTCTTCACAGGTTCCATTAGTCTTCAGTCTGCTTCCCAGGGTCAGGGTCAGGAGACAAGGGGGTGTCTTAGCTAGTTGGGCTACTGTAACAATACCAGAGCCTCAGTGGCATTAATAAAAACAGAAAACTCCATGCGGTTCTGGAGGCTGGAAGTGGGAGATCAGGGACTGCGTGGCATGACAGGTTCTAGGTGAGGGGACAGCTGGCTTACACTGGTGGCAGAATTTTTTTTTTTTTTTTTTGAGGCAGGGTCTTGGGTAGCCAAGGCTGGCCTCACACTCCCTATGTAGTTGAGGATGATCTTGAACTTCTGATCCTCTCCCTCCATCCACTGAGTGCTTGGATGTTGGATGATACGGGTGTACTACTATACTCACTTTTAGGCAGTGCTGTAGATTGAATCCAGGGCTTCGTGCACACTAGGCAAGCACTTTACCCTTTTTTGGGGTGGGGGGGACAGAGTCTTACTGTGTAGACCAAACTGTCCTTGAACTGATGATCTGATGATTCTCCTGCCTCAACTTCTCAAGTGCTGGGCTTATAGGTGGGTACCACCATGCTTGATGTCTCCTATCTCATAAGGACACTGATCCCACTGGACAAGGCTTGACCTTCAAGACCTAATCATCTCCCAAAGGCACCTAATACTGTCACATTGTGGGTAGCATTTCAATATATGAGTTTGGGGGAGATAACACAAATTTAGTCAGTCCATACATGGAGTTGTTCTAGAATGAATGAAGACAAACAATGTCTTGCTTACCTGGGGCTGTAGGGTGCTGTAGTAGACATTGATTTGGAGACAACGTGAAATCTTCACCTACGGTGCCTGACTGAAGGAGGCTTGCTGTGAATTCTCATGCATTGGAGAATGAGTTCCCAAGTACTCTGAGCCGGCAAAGGGGCCGTGAGCACCACCTGGTGGTGATCATGTGAATGAAGACCTTAGTCAACAGCAGCCAGACCCAAGCTGGATGCCAATCAGTGAGCTGCATGGCTCAGAACAGCTCACGCCAAAGGCAAGAGGCACTGGTTTGGGATGTCCCTCCCTCTGTGAACTTGGCTTGCATCCTGGAGAAAAGTAACCAGGAGTTGGGGTTCAGTCCATGCTGAGCCCTCAGACCCTGCTGGAATGGCTGGTAATGTTTTCTGTTTGCTCTGACCTCTGAGACACCCCTGGCCAGACATCTGGCACCATGTAGGAGGATTCTGGAGGATTGGAAATGTAGCTCAGTTGGTAGAGTGTTTGTCTAGCATACACAAAGACCTCAGAACTACCAGAAAACCAGGCACCATGGTATATACTTGCAACGTGGTATATACTTGGTGTATACTTAGGAGATGGAGGCAGGAAGACTGGGAATTCAAGGTCACCTCAGCTTCATGGTGAATTTGAATTGGAGGCCAGCCTAGGCTACACGAAACTCTTTTTGTCTTTTTTTTTTTTAAAGGAAGGGACTGGAGAAGTGACTCAGTGACTAAGACCACTGGCTGCTGTTGCAGAGGCCCCAGGTTTGGTTCCCAGCACCCACATGGCGGCTGACAACTGTAACTCCAGTTTCAGGGGATCCAACACCGCCTTTTGGCCTCTGTGGGCATTACATGACATGGGTGCACTTACATACATGCAGGCAAAACACTCAAACACATAAAATACAAATAAAAGGAAGGTTCTGGTATGCATAGTAGTAAGGAGTGGAAATCTTTCCTCCTGGGACCTTTGTAACCACCCAGCCCGAGCTGAAGGCCACCTGCGATATAGCCCAGTCACCAGGCCTGAGATTCTTGCAAGCACAGTCACACTTGGGTATTTCCAGGCTCTACCTGCAGTATCTCCTTTGCTTTATATCAGTATCTCCTTTGCTTTATAAAGCAGTGCTCCCAGAATTAACTGCTCTGAGTGCTGTGCTGAGTACAGTCCCTCTGCTTCTTAGAGCTACTGTCCACCCTGCCCTACCCTGCTTGCTGTCCTGGGAGACTTACCTGTACCCACAGCCTCAGCAAGACCCCCTTGTGTTCTGCCTTCTGGTTGGGTTGGGTCAGTGAGAGCCACTCGCAGGTGAACAGGAGGTGGGAGAATGTGGTGGGGTGTTAATAGCCGCTATGGGTAAGTGCATCCTGTAGCTCCTGCACATCATCCCCCAGGTGACTGCACCATCCCTTGGCTCTATTAGTTACTTTTCTTGTGGCTTTGACAAAACTGACAAAAGCAACTTGAGAAAGGTAAGGCTTATTTTTCCTCACAGTGAGGGGACCTCCCTGTTGTGGCAGGGAAGGCACCACAGCAGGAGCGCGCCAGCAGCTGGTCACATTGTATGGACAGTAAGGAAGCAGAGAGAGACGAATGCTGGTGCTGAGCTCAGTTTCAGCCCAGGACCTCCATCTGTAGAGTGGTGTTGCTCACATTTACAGTGAATAGTCTCACAGTTAACCCAGTCTAAGAAATCTCTCACAGAGATGGCCAGAGTCTAGTCTCTTAGGTGATTCTGTTTCCTGTCAAGTTGACAATATTACCCACTACAGGCACTGCGGTGTCCCTCGTGTTTTCCTCATTGATACCCATACTTTTTAAAGTAATCTCTGTAGGAAACGCTCCCCATCCCTGACCCCTCCAATAGCATCTCAAAATGCAGCCAAGGCTGAGTCTTGAATTCATTGTCCTCCTGCCTTAGCCTCCCAAGTGTGTACTACCACACCTATCTATAGTTACTTAATTTGAATGGCTGTGCTTTTCCGCTGAAGCCCTGATGGAAGCAGGTCGCATTATGAACAAAGGTTCTTAAAGCTTGCTTGTGGTGTAGAGTGGTGAAGCTGTGCTTGTAAACTGATCAAGCAACGGTATAATTCAGGTGATGCAGGAACAGTCAGCCCAGCCCAGAATCCGTTAAACTTGGCTGGCTCACCCACCCCTTAATTGCTATATAGAGAGCAAAGGTTCACAGACACAACAGGCTGACTCCCCCTTGCTTTTGGCTCACTGGCTCCTGCCTCTCTGGCTCTTGGCCTTGGTTTTAGTGGCCACCAGATATTCTTCTGGGTTAGTCTATCCTTATCCATAGTTTTGTTCTCATTCTGGCCTGGCTTGGGATCTTGGTGTCATCTGAACTGCAGATCATGACTACACTTGAAGTGGGGCTGTGAATTATCTTAGGGGTGGTGAAGGCAGGAAAGGAGCCTGTGTTTCTGTCTCCCTGAGACTGAGCACCTTGGGCTTAAGTCTACTTCCTTAGGCAGTCCTGACATCTTTCCTAGTCTCTGGTGTGAAAACACTTGGGGAGGAGGGACGCAGCTGAATGAACTGCTGGATGAGGCTGGGATGTATAGTTTCTAGAATAGGCTATGTGGCCTACCAAGTGTACAGAGAGAAAGTATGAAAAGCAGGGATTGTGTGGACACAGGGTGGGGATGTGGGTGGAGTACCTGGGACAAAGGAGGAGAGAGTGTGATTTGTCTATAATGAGACTGACTGGGATTGTTGTCCTCAGGGCTGTTTAGCATACCAAGGCTGGTGTAGAGGCACAGTACCCTCTGGTGGCCACAGCTAGAATCCCAATGTGTGTCTCCACAGGTTCGCCTGACCCCAGCTCCCACCTGCAACTCCCACACCTTTGCCCAACCCTCAGTCACCCGCCACTCCCCCGGCCCCGGCCCCCCAGCTTCTCCTCCCAGGTCCAGGGCGCTTTCTCCTTCCCAGGCCCGCCTTCTCCATCTTCAGGGAGCTGTGAGTGATCTGTATAAAACACAGTTTTATTGCTTTCTGAGAAACTGCCTTGGGTGTGTTCCCATCGTGCATGCCTCCAAGGCCCTGGCGACAGGGCGCAGCAGGCTGAGCACACTGGTGGGAGGAAGGAGAGAACCACTGCTTGAAATTGGAGGTTGGGGAAGGGAATCCAATTGGAGGCTGGGGAAGGAGGATCCATTGAGCAGCGGTTGGCAAGCCCAGAGCTGCTGTCTCTTTTCATGCTTGTTCTTAGGAGAACATTCTACCTGGGAACCTGGCAGCTTCTCTCGGGGGAGTAGAGACTCCCTCTGGCCAGCTACCCCCAGCCTAGGCAGGCACTGGCCCCCAGTTCTCTTTGCTGCTGCTCTCTCTGCTGGGGAGCTGGCCTCACCCCTCTCCCACTGTTTCCTGGGGGGCACCTGGCCTGGTCATCTCCTGGAGTAGGTAGAACCCTTGCTCACCAGCCCAGCGCTAAGCAGACTGTTATGTGCATGTAATTTGCTAATCTTAAGTGTCTGTTTCCTCTGAGAGCTGGCGCTGGGTCAGCCCTGAAACCTATGTCAGGTAGACAGCACAGAACCCAGCATCCACAAATATCTGCCCCGAATGGAATATGGCTAGCTTAGTGAATTCAAAGTGGGGGCACCTGGCAACCCCATAGGACCCCTCCACCTGCAGCATCTCCTTGCCTTGCCCCTCCTCCAGTCCGTGGTCAGATGGGGGTGAGGTTAGGTGCTGAAGCCTGCTTGGCATCGGCGGAGTCTGGTTCCGCCTCCCCGGTCTCCAGCAGCTTGTGGTGGCAGCGGCAGGTGGAAGCCCTGCTGGAGGACTTCGGGGAGCTGTGGCTCTTGGTCTTGTTATTGCTTAGTCCTCGCAGGACCCTATGGAAGATGAGGTAGCAGATCTCACAGATGGTGAGCACGATGCAGACCGCTGTAGCACCCACCATGAAGTAGGTAAAGACCTTTTTCTCAGTGGGCCGGGCAATGTAGCAGTCCACGGTATTGGGGCAGGGTACCACGTTGGCACATTGTACCAGACGGGGCATGGAGAAGCCATGCCAGAGCGTGTGTAGCACATACAGGAAGACCAATTCGATGATGAGCTTGAAGATGAGGCTGAGCAGGTAGGTCCACCACAGGCCACCGTGCTTCTTGCCTGGGTTGCTGTACAGCTTGGCACACTGGTCACCATGCTTCAGACGGTGCTTCCGCTCCCGATCCTCACGATAGGCTACGTGCAGGATGACCAGCAGCGAGGGGCATGTGACGAAGATGAGCTGCAGGGCCCAGAGGCGGATGTTGGAAATGGGGAAGAAGTTGTCATAGCACACGTTGGTACAGCCTGGCTGTCTGGTATTGCAGTCAAAGTCCTTCTGCTCATCCCCCCACACACGCTCTGCCGCGACCACATACACCAGCACCCGGAAGACAAACACTACTGACAGCCAGACGCGCCCGAACGCTGTGGAGTACTGGTTCACTTGTTTCAGTCGGCTCTGGAGCGTCTTCCAGTCCATGATGCCTGCTGAGGGGTGTGGGGGACTGTGCCCACCTGACAGAACAATGGGGAAAACTATTATGCTGATGATTCATTTGTTGAGTATTCAATTTAAAAAATAATTAAAAAAATTTCTATGTATGTCTGTATGTATGTATGTGCATGTATGTGCAAGTGCCCGAGGGGACCAGAAGAGGATGTTAGATCTCCTGGAGCTGGAGTTACAGGGACTTGTGAATTACCTGATATGGATGTTGGGAACCCAACTTTGGTCCTCTGCAAGAGCAGCAAGTGCTCTTAACGACTGGGCAATCTCTCTAGCCCTAATTATTATTTTTCAAACTGTTTTATTTTGTAGCCTAGGCTGGCCTGATACTTGAGATCCTGCCTCGGCCTTGCTGGAATTTTAGGTGTGCATCACCATACCCTATGCACTGAGTTCTTTTTGGTGGATGGACTTGTTTAGTCATCGAAAGGACCCGAAGAGATGGGGACTGTTATTTTTCCCAAACTGCAGATAGGAAAGGGAGGCTCAACAAGGATAAGAAACCCACCCAGAGTCCTGGAATTACTGTCCCATGACCCTTTAATGAGCATTTATTATGAGTCACACACGAAGCCAACTACCTAATATGCAGGATCTCATTTAACCCTTTATAATGATACCCTGAGATGGCTTTTGCTCTGATCCCTATTTATGGATGACAAAGCTGATAATCCAAGGTCAGTGTCTGCCAAGCACATATGATAAATGTTTGATAAACATTGTGACTCATTACTTCAGGGTGCTAGGAGGCTGGGAGCTTGCTGATGAAGAGACTTGGATTCAGGATAGCTGGGGTGCCAGCCCTGTGCTCTCCTATCTCCTCCTCTGCTCAACATGTGCCCTGGGGCTGTTGTTCTCTCTGTCTGAACCTTCCTTCCTTCCTTCCTTCCTTCCTTCCTTCCTTCCTTCCTTCCTTCCTTCCCTTTTTTTCTCCCTCCCTCCCTCCCTCCCTTCCTTCCTTCCTTCCTTCCTTCCTCCTTCCTTCCTTGGTCTCAAACTTCCTGAATGCTGGCATTGCAGGTGTGCATCCCCATGCCCATTTTGTGTGGTACTGAGGATAGACTTAGGGCTTCTTGCATTCTAGGCAAGCACTCTACCAGCTGAGCTACATCCCCATCCCCCAGGCCACATTTGTTTTAAAAAACATTTTATTTATTTTTTATTTTATGTGTATGAGTGTGTTGTCTGCATGTATGTAAGTGCACTTGTGTTCTGCAATGCCTGTGAAGGTCAGAAGAGGGCGTCTGATCCCTTGGAACTGGAGTTACAGAAGGCTGTTAGCTGCTATATGGGTACTGGGAACTGAACCTGGGTCCTCTGCAACAGCAGCCAGTGCTCTTAACTGCTGAGCCATTTCTCCAGCCCACCGAGGTCATATTCTTGAAAATTTTCCCAGCATTCTGCGAACTTGAGGTTGTGAATTCATCCCACAAAGAGAGACAGAGTCTAGGAGAGGAGAAAGGCCTGCCAATGTCAAAGCCAGTGTTGGTGAAGTTGGGAAGCTGCCTCAGGTGGGGGATGCGTGGGGGTTTGAGTCTGTTTCCTGAGAGAGTCTTAGATCCAGGGGATATGTAGGGACAGCTGTCCCTTCCTGTGCAGGGCCTGGGTAATTCCAGCCACCCTAGTCATGCTGTAGGCAGTGACTTTGTGGGGATGATGGGTCAGGCCTTCTCATCTTCCTCTGAATTCTCCGTGACTCAGAGGGTGTGGGCAGGTGGGTCAGCTGAGTGTACCTGAGACTGGTATCCTGACAAGGGTGTGAGAGCATGCACCCCTCCCAGAGCCTGTGTGGGCCGGCGTGCATGTGGAGTGTTTCTGGAGCCCCTTCAAATGCCTGCTGGACCACCACGTTGGCCCAAGCCACCATCATCTTAGCCCATATTCCTGCCACAGCCCCCTCACTGGACTTTGACTACATCCCTGTACCCTGTAGCCTAGTAAGTTATGATTAAGTTCCTACCTTCTTATAAAACTCCAGTAGCTCTCTCACTGTGCTCAGCTGGAAACCTCAGCATCTCTAGCCTCACCTCCTTTCTGCCCATTCACCTCTCACCTCCTTTCTGCCCACTTTCACCTCTCTGCTGGGGCCTTACTTTGATGCCTCCTGCTTGCAGTGCTCTCCCTCCAGAACTTTCCTTACCTGTCCTGTTACAGAGGCCTCTCTGCTCAAACAACATTCCCTCAGGGTTTCCCTAAATTACTTCAGATCAGATCCAGGCTGGGTCAGTCTGCTCCTGTCCCCTTTGTTTTCTTAGTGCTCAGTCACCATTTGAAATCAGGAAAGTCTTTGCCATTTTTTGGTTTTTGTTCTTGTTTACCATCTGTTTCTCCAGTTACAATGCCTACTTAATCTTGCTGGCTGTTTTATGTTTGGTGTGCCCTGGCATAGAGTAGGTGCTCAATTCATGCTGAATGGATAAACGGTGAAAGTTGAGCTCTCTGAGAGGTCATGAGGTAGGAGGGCTGGGTAGGACCACAGAGGAGCGGCCTTGCCAGGAGCTAGAGAGCCCCCAACCCCCTCATTTTTGCTACCCTACCTAGCAGAGGCGGTCTTTTGGGAATCTCAATTCTTGACAGGATGGGGTGACTGAGAAGCCCTAGATCATAGAGCAGCTTCTCAGTGTGGCCCCTGTTCTGGCTAAGCATTAGCACCTGGATTCAGACCTCTGTCCCACCGTTTACTTGCTGTGGGGCATCTTAGAATTCTGTGAAGTCGCTAACCCTGTTCTTTATCTCTCCTCTCTTGGACTATTGGAAGAATATTCGAGCTGTTTCCTTTCCAGTCTGCCACTCTCCCCGGGAATACTCAAGGAGACTAAGGGGGTGGAGGGGGTCTCCTTCACAGGAACCCTCCATGGCTGTCCAGCCACAAGGAGTAGCCCCCCTCTGGGGCTCCCCATTCTGTGCAGGCTGCCTAGTCCCGCCTAAGGCACACCTGGGGACACTCAGCTGCCAAGAATTTCCCGCCTAGCCCGGGCTGGGCTAGCGACTGGTAGAGCCGGTTCTCGCCCCCCTGCTGCCCCCCAGCTCCAGCCCCCCCAACAGTTTTTTTGATCTGGCCCTAGGGCCAGCTCTTGCTTTTTACACCCACCCCCACCCCCTGCCTCGAACACTGTGGCCCAATTTCCCTACTTTCCAGGACCTTGGCAGCTTTGGACCTGGGACAGGGGTGATAGGGGTCCTTCTGGGAATCTCCCAGCAGCTGGAACCGCCATCCAGTCTGGGATTGCCAGGTGCGAAGGCAGAGGTGGGTTGAGGTGTCCCTCCACTGCCTTCCTGCAGCTCCACCCTCAAGCCTGGCCGCGTGGGCAGCGCATCCCGCCACTGACCGCCACCGAGGAGGGCACTCAGCCGCCCTGGGGGGTCGCCCCTGCCGGGTACTTACGGTCAGCTGTGTAGCCACCGTGGGGCCGGACCCCACGTCCCCAAGACCCGCAGAAGCGAAGGAGGCGGGAGCCGAGCGGAGCTCTGTGGCCTCCAGGAGGCGCGGGGCCAGGACAGCTGGAGGTGGCAAGGAGGAGGGGCGGAGCGGGGAGGAGCCCGGAGCCTCCGCAGGAGTATGGGTTCTAATCCTGCCAGCCGCAGCCTTGGCTTGCTGGCTTGTGGAATGGGGGCATCGGTGGCCGCTGGCAGGGCTGCTGCAAAGGCTGTAATAACATTAGGGCGTGAAACGCTGCAAACTGTTAAGTGCAGACAGCAGGGACTGCAATAAACGACTCGCCCACGCAGGTTACCACGTATACCCCGACCTGTGCCCTGCCCATCCGGATCCCCGCCTGGTGCAAGGTCTCAACTCTGCATTGGGACACCCTTGGGAGCCTCTCCTGCCCTTCTTGTAAGGGAGGCAGCTGCGTCTTTGTGAGAATTGGAAGGGACACAACAGACCTGTGCCTGGAAAGATCGCAGGGGCAAGGGTGGTACTTGAAGTGACTTCAGAGGCACCCAGCCTGACCAAGGATGTGTGAACTGAGGTGGGAGGCAGAATTTATCTCCTGTACTCTGTGTGAAGGGTTGGGTGAACCTGGGCTGGCTCTGGGACCAGAACACTTTGTTTTACTAGTGTGCCAGGACTCAGATCCTGAGAGTTCTTAGCGCCCCAGGAGGGAAAATACTGGGGTTTCCTAATTCCCCGGAATCCCGATCTTAGTTACAGCCTGGCCTGAGGTTTCATTGTCTAGACAAAGATGACTGTTGCCGATCCCGATGATTAATCATCCTACTTGGGGGACTGTATCTGTTGATATCGGCTTTTAATCTAAAAATCCAACCCACAGTTGGGAAGTGCAGCTGTGGTCCTCTCCTATTATTCGTCTGAGTGGAGACCTACCCTGAAGGGTCCCTTGTGCACCTGGGCTGGGGCTCTGGGGAGGAGAATGCCTCCTGTATGTGCTTTATGTTTTTTTTTTCTTACAGCATCCAAACAAGGCATTTCTGATAGTTTCTGCATTCATAAAGGAGAAAAGGGAGGTGCAGAGAGATTGGGTGGCTTGCTCAGGGCACAAGGGAATCAGGGAATCCGGGGCTTTGGTGATGTTGCCTTTGGGTAAGGCAAACCACACAGCAGAGGTCACCTTGCACTTGCTATGGGCATGGCTCTTGAAGATCATGTTGGGACTGAGTGGTGGTGGGGCCGTCTGCATGGGTCTCCTCATGTGTCTGTGTGTGATAGTGGGAGACCAGGACCCTGCCACCAAATGGACCCTGCCACTTGATCCTTAACACCTGTTACTCTTCTACATTTTAGAGCAAATCTCCTTCCATTTCCTCCTCACTCTTTGACACATCAGAACAATGTTTCTGTCCTTACTGTGTCATTAAAAAGGCTTATCAAGGCCACTCTGATCACCATGATGCTAAATCTCACAGGGACAATGGCCATGCTTATCTTCTCAGAACACTCCCCCTCACCCACTTCCACCCCTGCTTCCTTGACATCCTACTGGTTTCTTCTTCTACATTTTAGAGCAAATCTCCTTCCATTTCCTCCTCACTCTTTGACACATCAGAACAATGTTTCTGTCCTTACTGTGTCATTAAAAAGGCTTGTCAAGGTCACTCTGATCACCGTGATGCTAAATCTCACAGGGACAATGGCCATGCTTGTCTTCTCAGAACACTCCCCTCACCCACTTCCACCCCTGCTTCCTTGACATCCTACTGGTTTCCTGGTCCCTGGGATGCCTCCCATTCCACTCTACTGTGGGCACCCCAGGCCAGGCCCAGTGGTCCCCTCCCAGGTGAGCTCACTCAGTCCTGGGGCCCTAACTACCATACATTCCCTACGCACACGCACACACACACACACACACACACACACACATCCCACATGGATGCTGTGCATGTCATTGTGTGCTTTGTTGTATTCTTATCAGTAGATACAGAGCTTCCCCTCCCTCTCTCTCTCCCTCTCTCCTTTCCTCCCTCCCTTTCTCTTTGAAGAGATGAATATCATCTTTACTATAATATGTTCCAAGTCAGTCCCATATTGATGGAAATTAAAGCTGCTGCTTTCCATCCTTCTTTCCAAGGCTGGGCATATGACTCAGTTGGCAAAGTGCTTACCAGTTCCTCCTTCTTTCCCTCCGTCCTTCCCTCCCTCCCCCTTGCAACAAATATCCTTGGAGAAACATTATTTGACCTTTTATTCCACTCACTCCACCCCTGTGTGTGTGTGTGTGTGTGTGTGTGTGTGTCTGTGTGAGTGAGGGCACATGCATGAGTGGAGGTCAGAGGACAACCTCAAATGTCAGTTCTCCCCTGCCACCTTGTTTGATTATTTGACCTTTTATTCCACTCACTCCACCCCTGTGTGTGTGTGTGTGTGTCTGTGTGTGTGTGTCTGTGTGAGTGAGGGCACGTGCATGAGTGGAGGTCAGAGGACAATCTCAAATGTCAGTCCTCCCCTGCCACCTTGTTGGGAGACAGGGTCTCTTGTTCACTGCTACATGGCCAACTGGCCAGTTCCCAGGGATTCTCCTGTCTCCTCCCCATCTCTCTATAGGATCACTGTGATCATAGATGTGAGTGACTACATCTGGCTTTATGTGGGTTTGGAGTATCTGAACTCAGATCGTTACGCTTGCACTGTAAGTGCTTTACGCACTGAGCCATCTCCCCAGCCCCATGCATTTAAAATTGTGTCTATAGACTGCATTCCCAGAAGTGGAATACCTGTGGGTTAAGGCGGTATGCTGTTTAACATTTTGGTAGATACTGCCAAGTCCCCTTCATGAATGTATCAGTCTGTGTTACCATGACACAGGAGAGTTCTTGTCTCCCCACATTTTTACCATCGTAGAGCATTACCAAACTCTACGCTCATTGCCCGGTACCATATTATATTTTTATTTTGCATTCCTCTTATGACTTTCTACATCTTTGAGTATATTAAGGAGCCATTCTTCCCTGCAAGCTATCCTTTGCCTTTGCCCATTTCTTACAGGTGGTTGTCTTTTTATTATTGATTTCTTATTTTTTTTTAATATTAAGGAAATAAGCTTCATGTCTGTGACACAAACAGAATTTCCCTTCTTGCTTGCTTGCATTTTGACTTTGTATTTTCAGTTTTTGCCATGCAGAATGAGACATTTTTATATAGTCAAACATATTAATCTTTTCTATGGTCTCTGGGTTTGGTCATAATTAGAAATGCGTTTGCCATTTGTATTTTCAGTTTTTGCCATGCAGAATGAGACATTTTTATATAGTCAAATATATTAATCTTTTCTATGGTCTCTGGGTTTGGTCATAATTAGAAATGCATTTGCCACTCTGAGAACCAACATAAAAATGTCCCCCATGGTTTCCTCTAGTTATCATCCTAATGATAGAAATCAGATCATGTTGCTCCTCTATGAAAGCTTGCATGGACTGTCATTACTTATAGATTAATATCCTCTCTCGTGAGGTTGGCCTCCAGGGCTGCAAATGACCTGGTACTGTGACTCCCTCTGTCCCACACTGTCCCTTTGATCACTGCTCTCCAGTCATAGTATTGGGTCCCTGTGACAGTTTCTCAAACAGGCTGTACCCATGGCTTTGCCGTTTGCTGTTCCCAGCTCTGTACTGGGCTGGGTAGGTTCTTCATCTTTATTTGTGGCTCACCTTTTTCTAGGGGCCTCAGTCACCTCTGTCCTCAGTAACCACTTTTCATGTTTTCCCAGAAACTGGGAGCTCTTGGCTCACATCTCTGCCATGTCTCCAGATACAGTTTCTGCTTGTAAAGGACACCCTGGGTGCACATGGGTTGTGTGTGCACAGATGCTGTGTGTATGCAACACTGGGTAGTTGTGTCTTGGGTATTGTGTAGGCTGCTTATGAGGATAGATTTTTCTTTTCTTTTCTTTTCTTTTCTTTTTTCTTTTCTTTTCTTTTCTTTTGTTTGAGACAGGGTCTCTGGGTATTGTGTAGGCTGCTTATGAGGATAGATTTTTCTTTTCTTTTCTTTTGTTTGAGACAGGGTCTTACTCTGTAGCTCAGGCCTGCCTTGAACTCACAGCAATTCTCCTACCTCAGCTTCTAGAACTGGGAGTACAGGCATGTGCCACCACACTCAGCTACGTGGGTGAGTTTTGGTGAGTGTGGTTGTAAAGGCATGTGATTGTGGAGATGGTGGTGTGGTCTAGAGCTCATATGTGTGTATGACTGCTTGGTGTGGGGTCCTGTCTGTGTGGTACATCGGGGTTAGTCTGCCCTGGTGAGCGGATGATTTCACAACTACTGGCCTTTGCTTTTTCTAGAGCAAGCTGGGAGAGTTCACCATTCCCACGGAGAAGCTTTAAGGACCTGAGGCCTCGCTGCCCCACCCAAAATTTCTGCTCCTTGAGTAGGGGACTATGTGGGAGGCTTTCTAGGCCACCCCCTGCCTCAGGGCAAGGCTAGGTTTCACCAGGGCTTGGCAGCTCTCTCTGCCACCCCCATATCCCTTAGGCTCTCCACCTGGCATCTGGGGGTGGCAGGCCCAAAGTCTCTGCTCTGATGCCAGCCCAGTACCTGGCCCAGGCTGGTCCTGCTCCCAGACTGCTCCCTCTCTCTAGAGCTGTGCCCAGGCCTTAAGCAGGGGCTTTTTGGGAAGAGTGGGCATCTCCTCCCAGCCTGGCTGTGCTCTAGTGTTTGTGTCTGCATAGAGACTTTCTCATCCCTTGAACAGAGAAGTGGGGCCTGGAGAAAGCACTGGGAAACAGGACTTTCTGAGGGCCACTCTTTGCAGCTGTGTTTGAGCATGCTGGGGAGGCAGGCAGGCCAGAGGTAATGCCTCAGGACCCAGCTGGAGTGCTGTCTTTCTTTCAAGAGACTCAGAGTTGCTTAGAACGTCTATCTTCTGCTCACTAAACCTTTGCCCTCCAGTGGAGGAAATGCCTGCCTTTGCTGGTTCCTGCTAGGATTCCGCACTCTGCAGGTGTACACTCCTGTCTGCCTTCCCAGGACCTGGTTCCACCTCCTCTCCTTCTCCTTCTTCATCAACTTTTGG